CACCTTTTGAAATCTTTTATCTGTTCAAGGTGACCGATGCCGTAGTACTAATGGACAGAGAGCAAGGAGCTGTAGAGACGTTGGCGTCTCGGGGAATCCGGCTCCATTCCATCATCTCCATGTTCAAGCTGCTCGAGGTGCTGCAGGAGGCCGAGCGTATCGACGCCTCAACCGCCCAGAGAGTGAAAAAGTTCATCCTGGACAATAACACTTTCAGGTACAGTCGCACAGCTTTGGTGAGGATAGCGTTTGTGTTTAAATGCATACTAACATTGCAACTTTTCCTCTTTCAGCCACAAGGGTGATAACTGCAACGGGGTCCCTGCCACCAAGAAGGCGTGTGTGGAGAAGAACATGGAGCTGAGCTACGCAGACAGAGCCAAACTACCAAGTATGTAGCCAAGTGGCCAGCACTAGTACGGCAATGTGTTTAAAAACTTAACAGTAATACTTTCCACTCTCTTGGCCTAGCGGCATGGTTTTAGTGTTTAGTTCAAAGCATTTCTAAATGTTATTCTATGCTTACAAACAGTTATTTTGTTCAGAGGTGCTGGTGTTTTTCACTGTGAAATTAGCCTCTCCCTCCCCTCGTCTGCAGACGTTCACCCTCTGGCGTCAAAGCTGCTGAAGATCATGGAGGAGAAGCAGTCGAACCTCTGCTTGTCCGCCGACGTGACGAGCAGCGAGGAGCTTCTTCGGCTGGCGGACTCTCTTGGTCCCACCGTCTGCATGCTGAAGATCCACGTAGACATCCTTAAGGTCGGAGTGAAACCGGTTCATGTTTCACGAGAACAACACTGTCAGGACAATTAATCAAATGCTATTCTGACGTCTGCCAACAGGACTACACGGTGGCCTTTACCCAGAAACTGCAGGCTTTGGCCGAGACACACAACTTCCTCATCTTTGAAGATCGCAAGTTTGCTGACATTGGAAACACAGTAAAGCATCAGTATGAAGGTGAGAGGATTTTATATTCAAATTTGGGCTCATGTATGACCTACACCTGACTTCAAGATGACATTTGAGAAACTGTGTTTTGTTATTTCCCAGGTGGTATGTACCAGATCTCATCTTGGTCCCACATAGTGAACGCCCATGCGGTGCCGGGCCCCGGGGTTGTGAAGGGCCTGAGCGCTGTAGGAAAGCCTCTGGGCCGAGGCTGTTTGCTCATAGCACAGATGAGCTCCCAGGGGTCACTGGCTACTGGTGAATACACACAGGCTGTGGTAAGGGTGTCTCTGCATTTTCTAAGTTTATATATGTGTATATATATACCATGATTCATGGTTTACAGTTTATCTCCGTTATCTTTGCAGCTGGCGATGGCAGAGGAGCAGTCAGACTTTGTGATTGGGTTTATCTGTGGCTCCAAGATCACCAAGAAGCCAGAGTTCATCCACATGACCCCTGGGGTCCAGATGCAGGCCGGAGGTAAATTTGACTTAATATAAAATAAAAATGTTTTTTTAATTCTTTTTTTTATTTTACATACATGCATACACATTTATTTGGATGCATATGCACAGACTCCAACTTGAATATTATTAATCTGTGGTGTTCATGAATTATAGGAGTTGATTTTAGATGCATTTTGTGTTGTACTTTCAACTCTTGTTTCTTTTTGGTGTTGTGTCTCCTCTTTAACACAAGGAGGAGCTATAGTGTAAGAAATGATTCCTGGATGAGCTATCGATAGTCGTCCTCTTGCTCCTGAACAACCTCTCCCTTTCTCTGTCTCCTCACCCCTTTCCCCCACCCTTCTCTTACAGGTGATGGGTTGGGCCAGCAGTACACCACCCCGGAGGAAGTCCTCTACAACAAAGGCTCTGATGTCATCATCGTCGGTCGGGGGATCCTGGAGGCCCCTGATAGGCTGAAAGCTGCTGAGTCGTACAGAAAGTCAGGCTGGGAGGCTTACACAAAGAGACTGGGCCAGAGTGGCCAATAGGAGGTTAAAGAGTTGCATCTGCATCTAATTTCAAATTTTACCTGCAACTTTAGTAATAACTTTTGTGGAGAACCTTTAAGTATTTTCTCTTTTACTTTTTTAGTAGTGTGCGCATAGTTGTATACATCGATACGTGTGTAGACATTTGCAGGAGGTACCTGGCAGGTGGAACCGGACACTTTACTGTGGAACATATGTAAATGCGAACTTTTGATTCTGTCGTATTGATGAGCTGCTTTAACTGTGTTCTTCCGATTCCCTCCGATCAATAAACTGCACAAGTTGACCTCAAGTCCGTCTGCTACGATACCTCTGATCAGGTTAATACAGATTTGGGAAAATGTATCTGTGTTCTTTGAAGTTGGCTCATTCTTCCTATTGAGGTCAAACCATGCAGAGAAAAGATGTGGATTACCTTGAAAAGCTAGTTGGTTTTTTTTTGAGTTTGTTGGTCAACTCCTAAACTCCCCCGAGGATTTGTTTGTTAAAGCAAGATTACGAGGTGTCGTTCCCTTGAGAAAGTCTACTGCTTCCAGTCAGGATGAAGCTTGTTTTTCATGTAATTGTTGCAATACTAGATCACTATTGTTGTACGAATAAGAGGGGGGTACGGGTAATACTTTTCAATGGTTGCGTAATATTTAGGTTGCGATTCGGGGAATGTTCCGGTACGGTCTTGTCCAATCTGGATCTCAAGCATCACTTTTCATATTGTATCGGACATACTTTTGGCTGCAAGACATAACTCCATACCCAAATCTCTGCTAATCATTACGTCATTAATGAACTCCAGCTTCACAAAGTAGCAGTAATAGGTTTATTTTAGGCCTGAACGTACGGTTAGCTCATTTCATAGCAAATGGAACAGCTTGGTTGGTCACAGTTCAGTAATGGACAATGGGTTTAAAATTTTTGTTATGAATGTCATATTTCAACTACAAAATGATACCTGATTTGCCTGATTTGATTGCAATGCCCTAAACGTAACTTAAAATAGCAAATGCTGAGGTAAAGTATCATTTTCCCAAATGGCTGTAGATTCAGTCATGATGTGACTTGATCAGGGATCTCACTTGTTGTCCATTGTCTCTAAGAAGAGGGATACTTTTTTAAGACCAGAGAGTTTCCTTCAGTTTGTGAGGCCTCCCTTTAAAAGCAAACGGATTCTTTCATTAACGGTGTGTCCTGGAGCCATGACAGTTGTGCTGTTACTAATAGGCCTACATGCAATGAAATCAGTTCAGAACATTCTTGATGGTTTCCTCACACTTGCTTTAATGGATCGATGTTTATCTGACATACCTTGTTTGGCTTTTCCCCTCCGTGCATTTCTATTAGGACTGAAAGAAGAAATGCAATGTGTTTTTTTTGGAAAGTGAGAGTGAATAGTTCAATAAAGGTTAGGTTTAAAGAAAACAAGTTCAATGTTTGTTTTTCCTCCCCTACTGTACATATATGCACCTACTGTAATAATACTGCTGTCATTTGTATTGAAAGTTCCACTTCCGCTATGTGATTTAGCTAGATTAATATACTGTATTTCACAATTGTAAAGTACTCAAATTGGGGGCGAAAGGACACCAGTAATCTGATAAGGCTTTAGATAATGCACCAAGAATCAATCAACCATCAAATAACCTCTGGTTATTATTACATCACATTGGATAAATTCCATCTTAAACTGATTTTGGTTGGTTTCCTTTATGTTAAACTACCTTAAAGGTGTTAAATTCCAAATACAGGGCTTATTGATTGTGGGATTGCCTCTCAACATGGCGACGGCTGAGCTGGCAGCAAGCAGCTAACAGTGGTAACGGCGCAAACAAAGGCAACAATGCCCGACAGAGCTAACAGTGTTGAACCGATTGGTGGGTGTTCTGCTTCAGCGGCAGCTTTTATCAGCGGTAACCGCCGTATGAGCAGTGCGGACCGGCTCCGGGCCAGTGGGGCACACAAACGGGGACTCGAGTGCACTAATATGCACGCGTGGCCGGACTGGCTACGCTAACAAATCATTAGTCTCACAAAAACCTGGTGTTGTGATGGCTACAAATGGTTGAATTTAATATAACAATGTTGTCAAGAATATTTTGTTGGTTTTGATCCACAGTATATATATCATGAAATATAACAAATGTGTGCAGAATTATAAAATCAAGTAATTAAATGTAATAACTCTTCCTCACTTTAAATGTATTTCTTATTGGGTTGAATGTTCATGTTTTATCTCTATATCACATTTAATTTATTTTCTTATCTCTGTATTGTGCCTCCATAATGGTGGGGGATGGGAGGACTAGTCCAAATGAAAGCAGCAGGGGCTGAGTTATCACTTGTAGTCCTTAGCATTAGTCAAACTTGGATCCTACAATTCTCATAATGCAACTCGATTGGATCTTTTTTTTAGACCTCCCCTGCCTGTTTAATTCTATCATCTTTTTTTTACATCTTACATGTTTACATCTTTTTCTCTGATCGGTTGACTATCATTGTTCATGTTTTGTGGAACAGGTTCAGCTGTCAGTTGGAAAATAAAAAATCGCTTTTCATAATCTTTGCCTTACAATTAAATTGCCTTACAACTAAAAAATGTCCAGATTCCATGATTGCATTACTTATTCAGAGGCCATTCAGCTAAAGAGAATTAGGAATCAGCTTCAAGCACTACTGTCATTTGACCAAGACCAACTTGATCAAATGACATACTTCTCCTGTTTGGCGTGAGTTTGGCTAAATCATTGTTTCGTCATGTCTCAGGGTGGATTTTTTTCTTCAGTGGCAGTTTGAACCCTGAGCATTTTTCCTTCCACGGCACCTGGTAGATCCCACAGAGAGATTTCTTTCCCCAAATTTGTCGGGTAAGGTGAGCCGGCCATCAGCAGAAAGTCATTTGCAAGCCATATGATATGGAAATTATGCCCGAACAGACTCTGAACAAATTGAGTTGGCAGGTAGCGACCTTACAATGCGCCGGTCTGCAGATCAACGCAGGCACAAAGGTCAGACACGTTGCCTGGCACAGAGGAGGAGGAGGAGGAGGAGGGAGGGAGGGAGGGAGGGAGGGAGGGTGCTTTGGATGGAGGAAAAGGGCTGGTAAGAATAATGCATTGTGTGTGTGTGTGTGTGGGTGTGTGTGTGTGCGCGCACACCCCTCCCCCTTTATGTCAATATTGGATCAGAGCAACACACCATGCGACAGGTGTCCGTGCATGCCCCGAGGATCATCCGTGTCGTTTTTATCCATGAGGGGTGGAGAGAGAAAAAGAGAGGGAGAGAGAGAGAGAGAGATAGAGAGAGCATGAGAGGTATAAAAGGTGTATACCTGACACAAACCCCACACATCCGATGCGCGTAAAAGGTGAGCCATGTCTAACCCAGCTTGCACATTTTGGCCTTCATCGCTTTGCTTCTTATGAAGGTGGGCTGTATGGCTTTTTATTCATTCTCTTTTCAATTTCCTTCAGAGTATCCATTTTTACAAGGGTGTACATTTGCTTGGTGTTCTAACTTCTCCCAAATCTTCCTCCAGAGGTTACCTGACAACAGAGAGGCCAGCTGTTACTCGCCCACTACCTTGATCTCTCTGCATCATCGTCACACGGTGATCGTTTCTGTGACTTTTTCATGTCCGTATTTGCTTCACGTTGAGCCACACGTACAATACCTGAAGATTAAGTTTTGTTCGTTCGGCTCGCGTTATGCAGGTATGGGTTGGCAACTGGGAAAGACACAAAGCTTCTTTTTTTCGTCACATGGAGCATCACTGTGTTTGTTAACACTGTCAAGTGTCAGTTCAGACAAACAATGGAGTGTTGGTTTTGGTTGAGTTGTTTTAAAGTTTGTTTTAAGGATGTTCATGAGCAGCACAAGTGAGCCAAATTACAGTAATGAAAGTCTTGAAAATCTTCAAAAATGTAAAAGACATTTCTGAAAAAAAACACATCAGCCATAAGGTCAGGAGTCAGGGTCATTGCTTTATCTAAGATGACTTGATAACAGCGTAGATTCGTTGGCTGAAGCACCAGGTGTACAGCATATTTCACTGAATAGATTGCCTTATTTGCATACAGCTGGCTACAGGCAATGCTCTAAAGAAAGCCATGTCAGCCTTGGACAACATGTTGCCTGACTACTGGAGTCACAATCATTTATCTGAAGGTGAAAGTGAAAAAAAAAGAAAATCCTGGAAGATTAATTTCCTGACTCATTTGAGAAAGACATTTAAAGACATTATAATGTGAATAGGTGTTTGTGTCGAGCAAAGGAAAGCACAAGAAGGGTTACAGCAGGTGAACTTGGTTATCAAGAAAGGATGTTCATTGATAAAAAAAGATCCAGTTTAAATACTGAAAAGGTAAAAATAAGATTATGAATTGCAGATTCAACCACTCCATATGTTCACGTAAAACCTGCTCGATCTGAACAGACGTACCTGTCTGTCCAGGTACAAATGAAAGACAGTATCACTACTGATGTAACTGACATTAGGAAAGTGTCCAAGTGATGGTCACTCACTGTTTGTTTTCTAGCTAGAGGTTGAACTCATCTACATGTGCCTGTTTGTGCTTCCCCTGGATGATTCCGTATATGTGCTGAAAAGGTTGACATTTACGATAGGGATGATTATCTCCGTATCGTCCCTTGGTGCCTTTTTTTTGATAATCATTTTCCTGTTGGCACATTCATGTTGACAGCATGTATTTTCCACTGGGCCTATTCATTACTGTCCATCTCCTACGTCACCAACTGAGGCTGCAGGCGAGCACCAGGGAGCAGAGAGATGGGCTTAATGGGAGGCTATGTTAATCATTAACTAAACATTAACCACTCACATACACACACACCAGACATCTGATATGGGCCATCTGCCATTTGGATGCTATGGTACAGCATTCATCTATCACACTTTTACAAGTCATTATGTGTATTGTTCCTTATGTTTACGAGTATATCTTCTTTTCAGTGCTTTATTGTGTTTATCAGTGATTTAAATGAACACTGGTGTTTTCCTTTCATCCAGCTCTCGGATGACGAGGCTAAGTGTTTTGGATTTCAAACAATAAATTGATGAAGTCGGTGTTGCAGCTATACGATTCCACCTTACTAAAGAGTAAACTGACATTTTACATTCCCAATTCAAATTGATGAATTCATTCTGAAGCCACGCTGAAGCTGCGTCTTTGTCATCTAGTGGAAAAATAACAACGACATCCAGAGCTAACGTACGGTGCCAAAACACATTATACACACACAGATTGCGATCCCCGACCAATCTAACTATTGACTAATTGTTTATTGAAATAATACATTTATATGAAAAAGAAACATTTCTGCTAAAGAGTAGGTTCAAACACAGTATATGAGCCGATGCTAAATCACTGATGATCACTTTCTCTGAAAGTCTAACACATTATGTCATACATTTAAAATTCACTTTGAGTGGTGATCTCTGTGACTGAATATGTTCCCACACTACAGCATGTCCCATGTATGCTCAAACTGAAGTTACATACAATATACAGTATACTTATCTTTCATACCCGTGGTCCCGCCTGCAGCATTGTCCTTTAACTTTAACATTGTGTTCATTTTGGTAGATCCCCTTCACACTTTATTACCTCAAAAAACATCTCGTCATCACCTTACAAGAAGAGACATTAATTGAAAGTCGGCCCAGCATGTCATTCTTTACCTGAAAGCATATTTGCCTCTGCTTGAAGCTCTAGTCAATATTTGTTTAATGCCAGAGGAAGGGGAAGCTCGCACTCCTCAGTATCCTGGTTACCTTGCCCCGATTTAAACTGACTATCCCAACTGGTCCTGCTGCTGCTACACCCTTCCTCCCAGCTCCCGGAGCTGGATTAACAACCGGGTAATTTGTTAACGATTCAACGTACAGGTTTAGACAGATGCTTTTTTTCTGTACAATTAAAAGGAATGAATGTATATATTCAGTGGAAATTGATTTTTTTTTAAATCACCATTTGAAACAGTATGAAACCGGTGGGAAATATTACATTAAATTTGTGTAGAGATATTTTCTCATCTTTAAAAAAGGCCTGACAATTACCCTCTCAAAGAGGGCAGGTACTGATTGTTTTAACTAGGATCATTGTGTAGTGTAGCATTACTGTAATTACTTTAAAACACACAACAGGAAAGAACTCTGTAGCCATGAAGGCCAGATGATGCAAAAAGAGGTAGAATCCAGAAACATGCAATATAAATACATGTATTACTTTTCTATAATATACCCTCTGTGTATCATTTTCATTTTACCTTTATTTCATATGGTTTTGCCTGTTTAGGCAGCTAAATGCAAACAGAGAAAACATACACAAAAATGATATTAATATTGAGTTCAGAAAACAGGAATCAGCAAAAAATATGATGTTTTAAGCAATTAATGTTATATTGAC